ATGAGTACGAATCCACGTCATCAAGTGTTGTAGAGTGAACGAAAAGTTTTTTTTTTTCTTTTTCCTCTGTATGAGTACGAATCCCTCATTGCCAAAGTTGTTATAGAGTAGTTTCACAGTGGGGGCTTGTATTTCACTAAGTTGGTCCTAAAACGGTTTGACGTACAAAACGTTAGGAACTTGATATAATAGTTAATGACGCAGCAATCTAGTTGTGGTGGCTGATACTTTAATATCCGACATCGACTGACTGACCAACTCACTCAGGGACTGGCGACTGCTACTACTCCTACTTATTATAGGTGGGAGAGTCTATTAACAATAGAATAGATGTGTTCCAGTATAACAATGTTGAAATCCTCACAGTATTTAGTATTGTTGAAGTTACCACTAACATTTTTGTCAAGATTTACACCATCAAAAATATTGGCAAAAACCCTACTTTGTGGTTTAATAATTTCTTTAATTTTATAGGACTTCATTGTAAACAATATTTTTAAGAAAATTTCTTTTTTTTTCTTTTTAACAATGAAGTATAAATTCTTAGGATTTCTTACTCTTGAGCATGCAACATACAGCTGGCCATGCATAAATATTTCTTTCTGGAGCCAAATTCCAACTTTTTCAAGCATTTGGCCTTGTGATTTGTTTATAATTCTCACAAACATGGGGCAAACTAGATTCTTGTATATATAAAAACTTAAAAGATATGCAAAACACAATATTGTATTTTTGTTAACTAAGTATTTATTTTAATCATTAAATTGTTTTTAAAAGTGGGAGTATTTTGTACATCAAATAATAAAACTTATAATCCCCCCCAAATTAATGAAAATTTATTGTACTAAGCTACACACACTAGTAAAACCAACTGTATTCTGTACCTCCTTACATATTTGCACTTCTTCCCAAAATTTGGTTTTGATCGGTCAATGTACGGCTATTTTAGAGGGTGTAAAAGATGGACAGAATAATGAAAGTCAAAGAATTTTATAGATAGATAGATAGATAGATAGATGCAAACATTGTGTACTCATACAAGTACATGGTGATAATCACAGACACTGAATGGTATACCCTATAAAATATACAACAAATTCTATTTTTGTTATTTGAAGAATAATTTATAGAATAGTATGATTTTTTTTAATCTGTGGTTTTAAATTAAAATCTTTTATTTCTATGCGTTCTTACACCAGTTTTGCCATTCTATCTATTCCAAAACTTTAAAACCCCAAAATTCTAAAAATCTTATATACTCGAGTTTCTAAGATGTTAAGTTAGTTTTACAAATTTTAAAAGCCCTTAAAACTACAAACCTTTTTACATTTTTCTGTATGACTAAAGGAGAAAAATATGGAATTGCCAGTAGTCTGGTATCTAAATATAGATTATTTTCCAGCAAATAAACTAGAGAAGGTAGCAAAAGAAAATGAGAAGAAAGGACTAACTATTATTAAGTATATGATAGAATTGATGATAATCAGCAAGAGAGGCAACTAAAGATGTGAGCTTCAAATTGGAAATATTAGAATCAAGCAGGTATAGAAATTTAATTATCTAGGTAAAGTTATAACAGACAACAGTTGACACACAGATCAAAAGGTGTCTCAGAATAGCAAAATAAGTCTTTCAGGAACAAAAATATTGTTAGAAACAAAAGAAAAGAGTGCTGAAATGCTCTGTCATGTCTAGCCTCCTGTAAAAATTAAAATGAAGCAACGGAGATAAAGGTTCTATAGACCTATATTGAGAATACCATGGACAAAACATGTAAGTAATGAGGACATTCAAAAGAAAATAGGAACTAGAAAGTGACTCATACTTAAAATCAGATTGAGTTGAAATTTCTGGGGTACATTATGAGGAAGGACAGTTTGGAAAATTTAATACTCACAGGACATTGAGGGGAGGCAGAAAACAGCAAGCAACTTAATCAGTGTGTGAATGAATAGAAAGCAGAACAGGAGCAAGGAGGGTAAAAAACTAAGAGTCAAACGTTGCTTAGAGCTACAAGGAACAGGAAATTATAGATCGTCCACGTCCTGAAAGGACACGGCACAAACTTCGGTTGATTTTTTTAGTTTTAAAATTTCGCATATAAAAGATGACTAATAGGTAATTTCTTATTTTTATTTTGAAACTCAATCAAAAATTATCTTTCCTTCTACCACACTAATAATAATTGAAATAAAAAAATTAAAAATGATACCAATGATGATGGTATTTAAAAGAAAAGAAAATTAAACTTAAACGAAAGAACAAATTATGAAACAAATATTAAGACAGAAAGGAAATCTATTCGTATTTTTTTTTTTTTTAACTTTTTAAAAATAAAGAACTGAAAACAAAAACATCGTATGGTTGAGTGTCATGGGGGGGGGAGAGGTGTGAAAATGTAATAGCGCCCATACTCCTTCTCAACCTACAAAGAAATTTTTTAATATTGACTTGTAATGCATAAAGTGATTTGGTAAGTTAAATCAACCATACGATTACAGTAATCGGATTATTGAATATATTGGTACAGAATTCCTAAAAGGTTACTGAAGAAAGCTGGAAGGTACAACGGTCGGGACAGAGATGTTGGTTTAAAAATTAGGAAAACGGATAAAATAAAATAATAAATCTTCATCTCTAAAGAAGTCTTGCATAAAGTGAATAGTTTTATTTCTTTTTCTATGTTTAAAAAATCGCGTCAAATAGCTGTTGTACATTGTTGCCTAATAAGGATATAACAAGTCAATTCTCTAAGCTTAACGTGCCCCTCTCATTTCTTGAAGGACTGATTACTTGACACTAGAGAGAGAGAGAAAGAAAGAAAGAACGAACGAACGACTGACTGACTGACTGACTGTGTTACTAAGATTCTTTACTTACTACAACATTGAACAAGTAGGCATGCCTACCGTTTACCGGGCCCACGGTCCTGGAGGAAGACAGCTTTAGTTAAAAAAGCAGTTGACTAAAAATTCTAAACAGTAGGCCTAATTGACAAAAATAGAGACGTAATCTTATAACAATATTTTTGTTTGACAAATACATATCACAGACCTCACTGAATTATTATATTACTACTTTAACTTTACCCACCGTTAGGTTGAATTTCTTATCGAAGGAGGATTTATTTAAATTTTAAACACAATTATATTAAGTGTTACTGTTGGTTATCTTATTTATAATAATTCTTGGGTTTTCTTTGAATTCATTCATCACCACCATAATTATCAGTACTGTACATGTGTTTTTTTTATGAGTGTATCAATAAGTCGTTGTCTTCCACCAGGACAGTGTTCCCGGTAAATGATAGTCGTTCAATACTGGAAGAAATATGGAATATATATATATAAAAATGAAACTTCATAAAGCAAAGAATTTCCAAAGTTATTGATTAATTGGACATTTAATTTCATATTAAAAAAGGACGTGTTTTATTTTATTGCCTCAGTAAAAAAAAAAATCATTAAATTATGTTCGTCTGTGTTGTAAAAATGTACGTACGTTCAGTCGGTATTTTTTTTTTTTTTTAATATAAATAAGAAACTAAGAAAACATACATGTGTAAACGGTGAATATTTGGGTTGGAAATGATTATGCACAAAAAACATTTAACAATAAATTACGATTACGAGCAACGTTAGCAGAAAACCAGAGTCCAGGATATTTTTTCCCCGCAAATTTACTTATGCGGCAAATTAATGATTGAATTACACTACACAGCTACAAACACACTTCAGACAGCATGTAGTGACATTGTTGTCATGTAATTTTTATCCAGAATCCATTTTTTTTAGTTTGCGTCTAAAAAGTACCAATTTTACAATGAACAATAGAAACTAGCAGCAAATTTTTTTTTTTCATTTATTTTCGCGCTTTTACAAAAGTCGCAGCCTCATTCATTATTACTTATTTAAAACTAAAATCGACATTTCATTCAAACTGGTACATGTGTTCAGATTCACTAAGTGGAAACGAAAAGTGATCTACCATATTTTTTGCTTCCACAAATGGCAAATGCCCACATAAAATAGGCGAGGCATGAGTCAACCTTCGTTCCTTCATTGGATACTTTTTAAAAATACATTTAATTAATTAGTCTATAATTTTTGTGAAGAGTTTAACTGATCCAATATAATATTCGAATAAATTTAAACTGCTCTTCGCATACATGTTAGCACGTTTCGAAGATATTCACTTATTCAGCCTTCGTCAGGTGTACTGTATTCCATTAGAAAGGGAAGGAAATTTATCAGGAAAAACATTGTTGTTGACAGTAGCAAACCATACAAAGAAGAGCTTAAACTCTTCTTTGTACCCAAAGGATTGTTTGAATAATTAAACTTTAATTATCCAAACAATACTCTGGGTAGGGTACTCAATCACATTATCATTATTTATTTATCAATCGATTCATCAATGTGATTTGTAGTGGGGAGGAAGGCATTTTGTGCAAGTACCATAAAAATAGAATTTTGTAAATGCTTTATCATACTTAATACCATCAAAACAAAAACCTGCAAGAGGTATTAATATTTTAATATTTTTTAAATTTCAAGCAAGTTATATTGAGCGGCAGCTGCCGCACAATATAAAATTGATATTTTTGTTACTTTATTCTTAAAGTAAATCCAACATTATTTCATCGAATAAAACTTGAGGGTTTTGTAAATATTATCTATTCATATCGGTGATATAAAAATTGACTTACCTGCATTTTAAAAAAAATTAAATCTGAGGACAAGTAATTCCACTCCCAAACGAACGGCTGATGATTTCACGCTTTTCGTGACCGGATAGAAGCAAAGCAAGGGTAGATAACTCTAGCGACTTCCGGTTCCCTCCAAATTCAAACTTTCACGCAATTGATTACATTGTGATTGTACACATGATTCCAGTTGAAATTCATACTGATGTTCTTATTCGAAATATTATACCCTTATGTCCATACGTTAACGCTTAACACTTGTTTTCAGGAACTGGACGATGCTTAGTTCATCAAGATGACTATTTGTAAATTTTTTATTCAAGGAAATTGTCGCTTTGGTAACAAATGCTGGTACGAGCATCCAAGCGGTGCAAATGGTAAAAAAAAATTTCTTTCCTTTTTGCGTTGTTGTTTTGTACCTGTATCTGAAAGTGCAACTCCTACTTATTTCTTGTTTATTTTTCAGTTTATGTAATCTGTTACATTGTCTTTTATTATTCTTTTTTTCACACAAATTTTTGTGGAATTGTTTTTTATATCAAGTTTTGAATGAATCAATTGAGTTGCTCTAACTTTGTTTTTTTTTTTAAACTTAGTTCTTGTTACATGGATAATATAGCCAAACTTTTATCATTTTTTTTACGAGACCTCTAACAACAAAATTATTGTTTTCAGGTTATTTTGCAACTTTTTGATAATACCCCTATTCAGTTCTGAAACTCGTTCAGAATTTGCAATGTTAGTTAAATTATTTAATTTCATAAATTAAAAAAAATTGTCTGCAAAAGTTGTCAAAGAAAAAATTATTTTATTTTCACTTTTTTCTCTAGCATCACTTTTCTTAGTATTGAAAAGATTATTTTTTATTTATTACTCTTGTATTATGTTGTACTTTTTTTTTTTTTTTACAAATAATGGCGGAAATACCTCATTGATTACCCGAACACATCAATGAAATTAGTCCTTGACTCCTTAATCCTCTTCCTTTTAGCAAGATTCTCAGTCCTTTTTAAACGCTATCAGACAGGCACTTTGCCTGGATCAAGTTTTTGACTAACTAAATGTACTCTCTAATTGCCCTGATCTGGATGTACCTTTTTTGTATTCTGTTTTTAACTAACATGTGAATCCAAAGTGGTAGAGTTCCTCAAAGTTGACGGGAAGCAAACACCTTTGAATAAGAAAGGTTCCCAGTCAAATAAGAAAAAAAGAAAGAAGTCTACCAATACCATCATGAATCTCTCATAAGTCAAGTTGTTAAAATCATAGGATTTTCCTTGACTCGCTACTAAAATTGCTCCATGACAACAAAACCTTCAATTGTTATCAATGTGGTTTTTAGTCTGGTTGCAGTTTTGTATTTCCCAGTTACTATCCTGTTTGAATAACTGGACAGAAATCTTACAACTTTATCACAACAGATGTGATATATAGACTTTGTGAAGGCCTTTGATTCAGTCTTGCATCAAGGACTATTTGTCAAATTGAAACATATCAGTGTTAGTGGCAAGGTCCAGAACTGAATCAAATCTTTCCTTTTCTCCAGAAGGCAAAGAATTGTATTACAAAATGTGTTTTGTCAAGGGCTGAGGTTAAGGGTCTATACTTGAGACCAATTATATTCCTTATTGGTAATACACCTCTAAATAGGTATCACTTTGTTATAATGAACATATAGTCGCAAAAGAAAGAACAAACAAACAAGGATTAATATTCCAACAGCATGTATTGATCAATTTTCAGAATATATACATAGTTGTGTAAAAAGGTGACAATTGTTGATATGTGATGCTTTAGTTGCCATTGGTAAGACTGGGAGTTGACAAATTTGCTGGGTTAATTGACTGAGGTCACAATTAGTATCGGGAGAGAGGCCTGGAGTGGATTAGTGAAGCTGCATGGTAGCAAGAGTGGGGTGTTGTTGTTGGAGGTTGATCCATCTATCTTCAAGGTTGAAATTAACATTGGTAGAGTGTGGGGATTTGTTGGCAGCTGTGTGAGCCGAACTGCTTGTTGTCAGCAAGGAGTGTTGTTTTTATATCTGTGGTTTAACAGGTGCTGGCTCCCAGGAACTTTTTTCAACAACATTTGTGATCGGCTATTGAATTTTAGATTTTTGTGGGGGATTTATTTTGGGGATCAGATGTGATGCCTGAAGACCCTGTGCAAAAGATCACTTGGTGCTCACATCTGGCCAACATGTCTAGTGAAATGTATTTGTGAATCAAAGTGAGATTTTGATTCAAGTAGTATAACAACTTGAACGGCAAAGTAGTTGAACTTTGGGACAGTTTTATATGATGGTTAATGTAATTTAGCTGAATGACCACTATGTCAGAGCAGGAATGTAAAGCTTTGATAATAGCCATTCCATTACTTATTTACTAAATGCATTTCCTTTCTTCTAATTTATAGTAATAACCTGCTTTATCTTGTTTGTTACTAGGTGCAAGCAGTGTTTCTGAACAGACTATTGATTATCTTTCTTGAAATGTGTACTCCAAATGCGAACACCATACTCAATCACTTGACCATATCAAGGATGTGTATAAAACTTTCACCTTTTGGTAGGGTTGGACTTGTAAAGCAATGTTTGATAATTCCAATCCTTTGGCTGTTTTTTTTGACAATCTCAACTATGTGTTTCCTTTGTGACAAGACTTGGGCCTATTTTGTTCCTTATTTATGTTAATGAGGGACAAAATAGGCCCAAGTATGGACCCTTGGGTAACACCACTGATAATGTCAGTTCATGGCAAAACATCGTTTTGTAATATAACACTTTGCCTTGTAGAGGAAAGACATGATCCACTTTCAGACCTTCCCAATCTGTTTAAATTTGGTGTGGTATTGAGTTAAGGTCCTTTGCAAAGTCCATATATATCACATTCATTTGGATAAAGTTGTCAAATCTTTCTATTCAATCATTCAAACAGGATAGTAGCTGGGAGATACAACTGAAACTAGACTGAAAACTATGTTGATGACAACTGAAGGTTTTGCTATCATGAAGCAATTTTAGTTGAGATTCAAGCAAAATTCTTTCTAAGATTTTAAACTTTACTCATGAGAGATACAGGATGGTCATTTTCTTGTCTGATTGGAAACTTTGTGTGGTACAAGAAAAACAAAGTAGCAAGTCCTGAGAGAGCTAATTTCATCAGGTAAAGTGAGCATAACATGGCCATTATATCAAAAAAAGGAAAAAGCCTAATAGCCCATTCTGACCAATTAAAACCCAGAATTGAAGAGGAAGATATTGTGATGGAAGAAGATTTTTGACAGAGAAGAGAGGATGAGTTCTTCAGATCAGGATAATGCAATAAAAGATGAGCCTAGGGATGATAGCAAGAGTGAAGATGAAATGAGACCAATATCTCCATTAAAAAGAACCAGACATAAACCTCAAAGGAGAGAGGAGGAAAGAGGTTGTAGAAGTTCAAGAACAATAAAAGGTATAAAACCTTTGGTTCAGGGAAGTGTAGTGGCTTGGTAAATAGGATTGTACTTATTTGCATGTGTTAAGTAGAAGAAATATAAAGTGTATAATAAACTAAGAGACAGGCAAGAGGTTGATTACAGATCATGTGTCATAGAACAAAACAATACGACTTTATGTAAAGGTGTGGTGTTTCTTTTCTACTTTTTGAGCAACCACAATGAGGGTCCTTGCCTTGAGTATCTACTGAGACTCAAGTTTATCCCAGATCTCAATTAGAACTAGTTTATACAATCCATTGCTGAAGATGCTCGAAAAAAAAAAAAAGGTTGAGTCCTTTTCCTTCTCCAGAAAATAACCTGACTCCTCTTGTCATGATTTATCTTGACAAGAATCAGATCAAAACAAAAGTGGAGTATATCTGCCATATCTGGGCTACAGCTGTCCAATTCTCATTTTCCAGCCTTAACAGGGTTCAAAAGTGTTTACACAGTCTTGTGAGCAATTATTTTCAACACTACAGTCAAAACATTGCAAGCCTATTGCTACTCTATCACTATTTCCATGGTAAATGTTCGGATGAGCTGCATTCCTTACCTTCACCAGTTCAGACCATCACAGCTCGGACACACCATGCCATATACATATGATCAAATCATCCTCATTCTCTTTATATTCCATTGATAAGAGGGAAGTTCTGCTCGGACAGCTTCTTCTTGTAAACAGGTACTTTATGGAACAGATTCCCAAGAAAATGCTTACCCCGATCACTATAATCTTAACCTCTTCAAGTCTAGAGTCATCTGTTATCTATCCTATATATCCTCATAATCTGCAATTACTTATTCCCTTATGTCTATACAATAATTCTGTAACCCCTCTACCTTGAGCAGCTCTTAGCCCTTTTATTGTGTGACCTTTCATTTTTTAAAAAAAAATCCATTGCGACTATGGCCTTGACTACTGGCACCATCTGCACCTAGAATGATGTGATGTTGTTATTGTTGTTTGTAAGTCAATATAGTCAGCCTTGTCTCAGGTAAATCAATAAAATCTGTTGAATGTTTTACATACCTAAGATGCAAAATCAATTCTACTGAAAAGGATATGAAAAAGCTTGGGCTACCTTGAATAAAATGGATGTAATTTGGAAGTCTAATCTACTTGACAATCTCAAATGGAGATTCTTTCGAGCCACTGTCGAGATGGTGTTAATATATAATGACTCTGCCATGACATTAACTAAAACTCAACAGTCAAAGCTTAATGGAACCTACACTCGGATGTTGAGAGTTATATTTAACATCTCTTGGAGACAACATCCAACTAAATCACAGCTCTATAAACCCATCCCTGATATTTCTACAATCTTATATGAATGAAGAATGCACTTTGCAGGACACTGCTCGTGAGCAAAACAAGAACTTATGAGCGATCTACTGCTCTGGACACCTAACAATGGTGCAAGGCAGGTTGGCTGCCTAGCAGTCACCTACATTGACCAGTTATGACACAAAATGCTACCCTAATGACCTCCTGACCTTGATACAGGACCATGATGGTAGATGTGATAGACTCCTGAACATTTGAGCTAACTTGATTGAATAGTAATAAATAATAGCCAGCCAGTTGATATTAGGCTGCTTGTTAAGTAAAACTGAATTTCTGTATAATTACTCTTTCTTACAACGCTATGGTAGTGATTAAATCCACTTTCAATCAACTATATGGTTTTCAAAAGATTTGCCATATTGAAAAAAATCTTTTTTTTTTTTTTTTTTTTTACTATATCAAAATCTTTACAATAAATAAATATAAACCTTACAAAGCATTTTTCTGGTGTCCTTTGTTAATCTTTTCTTCATGGATCATAGTGCCTTGTTGTATATAGCCATGAACCAATTGTAAAAAAGCATGAATAATGTCCGTTTCATGTTCATTAAGTTGTAGGTATTTATATTTATTTGTGTTTTTTGATTTAAAGTTATTTAAGAGTACAATGCAAAAGATGTGAAAATAATAGAATAAAAATTATTTTAAAATGTGTTATGCTCATAAATCACTAATCCCCACACATTACGTGTTAACAGGATAACTTCAATAATTTTTTTCCTTGCTTCCATTAGTCTTTCATTTTATTCTTTTTCTTTTAAACAGCATGCTTCTTGCCATTTGAAAATCTATTTTCCCTGATTTTCTATGATATTATGCCACCCTTCAATTAAATTGTGTATATACTTATAAAAAAATGATTCAGTTTGAGTTTTAAGAAAATTTTGGTTTTGGGAACTAGTTATAAGGGCCACTCAAAGTGGTCTATGGCCATATCATGTTGAAACATCAGTTCTTGTATGATCATTGAATTTAAGCAATGTGGAGTCTGATTATTACCTACGTGGGTGACCATTCAGGAATACCAGGTACTGTAAGCTTAGGTGTATGGGTGGTGTAATAGATAATGGCTTGGAATTGGAGATCAAAGTGCTGAGTTCCAATTCTGAATTTGGTATATTCACTTATGTACAAATGCCCTTGGGAAAGGTATGAATCCACCTCTTCTTCCCCAGCTATGGATTAATTAGTAGGACTTTTATCAATAAACCATTATCTTCAAAAAATTCTTACATTCTAGAAATATTTTCTGGCTTTAAATAACCTGAAAAAATTTGATAAGCCATAAAAAAACAAATCACTCAACCACTCAAGGTAGGGGGTTTATTGAGTGTGATTGTAAGATACAGGGAAGAAAGCTCTAAACTATTAATCTGCAAAAAATATTCCCTCTCAAGTTTTCCATATTTTTTTATGAGTGGACCAGTTTATTTAAGTGGTGGAGAATTTGGAAAGGGGAATTAACAGGAGATAACTGATAACTGACATCCATTAGACATGGCACATGGAACTAGAACAGTCTACCCCAGTGAGTGAAATAAAGTGTTCTGTTTGAGATTCCAACCACCTGAAGAAGGCCGGAGCATACAATGGCTGAAACGTTGTAATAAATATGGTGACAAAGATGAGGACAATAGTCTGAATAATGTAAAGAGTGAACATAATACCTCATCTCAGAAATATAGACAGTGTCAAAAAATAAAAAAAAAATATATATAAAACAGTATGTAAACCAAGAAATATGTGGTTGGGAGTATAAGATTGATGAACAATTGTATTTATAGCTAATCAGTCTAAAGCTGTCAAGCATATCTAGAAAACAAACACTTTTATGCATTGGGGATGCTTGTACGACTTGATTGCATCTACATAATGCCCATAAATACGTTTTTCAAAATGAAAATTACTAAAGCTTGAGTTCAATAATAAAATTAAAATTAAATTATCTTAATGTACAATATTTGTAAAAAGAATTTGTTTGAAACAATAGAATTCTAAAGTTATTTTTATTTTAAAAGGTATACTTTCATACTTTACATTGTTTTTTTTTTATTCTTCTAGGTGCACAGCGACACCTGAATTTCAGTAATTTTGGTGAGAATAACAGCCAAGGTGGGAGTGGGGGCTTCCAGACCAATGCTCGACAAGGAAACCAACAGCAACAACAGCAAAATAAATATAAATGGACAGCACCACATTTATCATTTGGAAACAGCTCTGCTTCACAGCAGCAGCAGCAACAGCAGCAGCAGCAGTTGTTGCCACCACAAGAAATCATGTAAGTCTTTTCTGGATTATGTTATATACTAACACAACACTTTTGCTGTTCTAGAGATATGTCTTTATGAAACTAACATTATTTGCTATTGATCTCCCCTTCTCTCTCTCTCTCTCTCTCTCTCACTCACTCACTCACTCACTCACTCACTCACACACACATATATATGATAAAGCAAAGTATTGGTAAAAGTTGCAAATGCAACTCTGCAAAATGAAAACACTTGAAATGACAAAAGAAAATAAAAGGGAAAACTGAGAACCAATAAACAGACCTCATCCTCCCCCCCCCAAAAAACAACTAAAGAAAAAAAGGAAATATAAACAGAAAAGACAGACTAAAAAACAGACCCTTACTTGTGTAACAATCCAAAGTGCTCAATGTCTAAATCAAATTAACTAAGACAGAGCAGTAACCCTAACCAGCAACACCATACAAAAGAAAATTACTTCAAATCGCTACTTCTTGCAATATGATAATCAGGTGACAAGAACCTCATTGTACCGGAGGATTGTGTTGCAAGGAACTCAGCGTAGTAATTTGAACTCTATCTATCAATCATATATATATATATATATATATATATTACATCAAAAACATGTCAGAATCACTACACAATTGCAGTCATGTTTCAATGTGTATAATGATGAAAGGACAATTATACTAAATGATAATTATTCAAAATCCAAAATTTATTGCAATAAAAATGTAAAAATTAAAAGAGGAAATACACAAATGATAATTATTTGAATTACAAATATTGTTAATAAAATAATTTAGTAAGAAAAAAATCCTTATAACCTTAATCTATATGATACTACATGCAAATAGTCAACTATTAAAGAGTACTTGTTAAAGTATGCCATTAATTTTTTAAGTTTTCTATTTACTTCACAGTATTTCTTGGCTCTCTTGATATTTTGGCAACTGGCTTTTACTATTGCAATGTGAATTTCTTGCAAGTCCTGTTCTCTTTTAAGATTGTCTAAGAATTTCCATATTGTGGGATGATGGGATGACACTTGCTGCAAAAAAGCCCTATGCCATCCTTTAAGGGTGTTATTAGTTTCCGGTAAATCAACATTGACTCTTTCAAAGCAAGACCACATACATATTTCAAACAATTATCATTTAGTATAATTGTTCTCTCAATCAATTTTCATTCAAACAATTTACAATTTCAATAAATGTTTTTCGAACAATTGTTTTCAAACAATTTTCTCAATTTGGTTTGTCTGACAAGCTTGCTCGCCATTGTGTTATAGCAGGCATCTAGTGAGACTTAAACTCTCTACAATATTAACTTTTACTATTGTGTTGCAATAACATTGTTGCTTTATATTTAATCAGTTGCTAGGAAAGTTGGTTCACTGATTTGCTCTAGACAGTTTTTCTCATCAGAATCTATCTTACACATTTATGTCTATCATTTGTCTATGCATTGAATATTGTTGCCAGATCTGGCTTGGTACTGCTGCTATATATTTAGATTCTTGATAAAATCCAAAGAATCTACCATGTTATCAGTCCTGACCTGGCATCTCAGCTTCAGCAGTTACTTTTCCATTGTTGTACATGCTTACATGTGCCTTTTCTATAAATATTTTCATGGTAATTGTTCTGATGAGCTTTCCTCTTTGGTAAATCCACTTTATGAATTTAAGCACATTACTAGATTAGAAAATCAGTTCCACAAAGCAGCAGTTCATAGGAAGAAGCTGGTCGAAACAAACTAACACTTTCTTCTCGTACTTCTTGCTTGTGGAACTCTCATTTGGCTTCTTGCTTCCCAGTCAACTTTGATCTTCAAAAATTTAAATGCAATGTCAATCATTATCTTCTGTTTTAATTCCCATTCTTTTATTGTTCTCTCTCCTTAATGTCTTTCTTTTTTTTATATTCTGTAACACTCAGTAACCTCCTTGTTTCTTGGTAGCTTTATTCCCTTGCTTGGAGTGAAATGATTAAAGAAAACTACCTTGGGAACAGTCAATGTAAATTTTGAAAATATGTATAATTATGTTCACAGCAGTAGAAATGTTAGTTTTGCAAGACTCGTTTGATAAACCATCCCTCTATGTCAGTGTTTCCCAACCATCACCGCCTTTGGGGGAAAAAATTTTTTTTTTTTTTTTTTTTTTTCAATGCTCCCCAATGGCCAAATTAAATTTTGAATATTGAATTTATCTTCCTTAGCAAGATAGCATTTAGGTATCAGTGCAAAAATAATTTTAATATTGTTTTCATTTCTATTATAAATGCCAATAATTAAAATGCTAAAAAAAACATTTATTTGATAGCTTATCTCAGTGTTTTCAATATTGACTTTAGTGCTTACTAGCTAAAGCTCTTACTCTAGGTTCCATGCTGCTTAGAAGTAATCATAGATCTCCTCGTTTTGTAATTTGTATGCAGTTTCTTTGTTTAGTAAGAAGCTGAGTAACTGCATTGAAACCACATTTAACCATATAGGAAGTTGGAAAAGCAATGAAGAAAAGTTTGATAGCTTCCAACAGTTTTAGATACCTTTCAGAAACTTCCTTTTATAGCCAATATTGAATAATTTTTTAAAAATTTGATGAAAAAAAAATGGATAAATGCCCATTGCACCCTTAGTATATTCATTCCCCTAGCCTTCCCAGTGAAATAAAAACTTATAGTGCCTGCTTTCAACATAATAGTCTGTAAGGGAGCATTAGCCTTCACGCTGGGAAACACTGCTCTATGTAAACTTCTGAATGACCACTGCAATTCAAGAGAGGTAATGTTTATTTCAGTATGGACAATGTACCATTGATCTTTGTTTATTGCAGTTAATCAGTTCCAGACCCTACTGTGGTAAGTGAATTTCCGCAAAGTAGGATTCTTTATTTATAAATCGAATATTTTTGTGGTTAGAGCTTAAAAAACCTGTTTATGACTGTATAAATATAGTTTTTGACATTGTAAGAGGTCTCTAGACTTAAAATAACACCCCTGTAGTCATCTTTACACTTCTATTACCCAATATATTAGAAAAAATAAGAGAAAATAAGACATATTAGCATTATAAATGTCATTATTATTATTGTACATTAAAATCACACACAAATTTCTTATGTGTACATCGCTTCAGCATTGAACAAGTTGCATTATTTTCCTAGGTTAGTGTCAACCTAGGAAAATAATGTAACTTGTTCAATGATTAAGCGATGTAATGCACATTGCTCCTCTAAATCATTTGCATAAACATTCTTTATACCTTAGAAGGACAAATAAGCATAATTTGATGTTTTCTTTTCAGCACATCTTTGAAATTAATTATCCTATTTGCATAAATATCTTGATATGTAGTTTTGGTTTTGTTGCTGAAAATAAAATTTGTTTTTATTTTAATCACATGCTATTGCCTTGTTGTTTTGTATTGAGTTTGTTGTCAACTTACTATTTTCTGAATAATTTTGTTTGCGGACTCCATGCAGCTAAACACATCAATAACAAGTGATCCACAGCACACCTGCAACCACAGCCAGTCAGTGAACAGCACATTTTGATTGCCTTGGTTTCACCACACCCAATTTTTTAATAATACAGGCCTGGGAAAAAGTTCTTACCCACACACAAGGAGTGGTCGAGCAGCTGCACCATGACATTGAAGGATTTGCAGGGGTGCTAGAATACATAGGCCTACAGTAATTTTAATACAGGGGTGTATAATTGACTCGGATAACCAAGCACACGCTGTATTATTTTTACTATCTTGTTCAACTGAAGGATTGGCTGTGTGTCTGCTCCTAAGATTTGGGTTAGAACTTTTTTCTAACCCTGTAGCAGACTGTTGTCAACCACAATATGATTTTTTAATGAAAAGATCTGAAAAAATGTGATAGTGAAGCCACAAAAGTTGAAGCACGATGTGATGAGGGACGATTGTAGTACTGAAATACTGAAGAAGAGATTTTTAATGAAGATCTGATGATAGGCAAATAGAAGTTTGTTAATTGCTGTTGAAAATGAGAAGCTGCAGTGTCATCATCTGATGTTGAAGATTTATTTAGTAATTTTTATTTTGTAGCATAAGGAATGTCTTAAGTACAAAGGTAGATACTGAAGTATTAATATACACTATAAGCCAAAAGTTTTGGGCGACACTTTGTATTTAATAATTAGCTCCTACTAAGCTATGATGCTGAAAGTAATTAAACCATTAGTACATGGCGTCCAGTTTTTTAGAGGGGGGTGTTACATAAAATTTAAAATCTGTCAGTTCTAGCAATACTATTAGTGTGCAAAGTAGATTATGTAAAAAGAGCTAAACATTTAAGGAAACTTTGAGGTAATGGGTTAATTTAATTCTTATTATTGAATATAGGATCTTTCTCTTCAGGAAGAGAAAGTCTCTCTGGTCTGAATTGAGATTGTAAGTTAGTTTTGAAAAAAAGGTATAAAACCTTCAATTTTTAGACCATTTTTGGCCTATAATGCAAATAGATTATTTTTAATATCTAATTATATATTTTAATTATTATTTTATATTTAAAATCTTCTGCTTTCAAACATGGATGTCATTTCATTTATTTGTTAGAATCACATACATTGATATTTTTGTTGGTTTTTGCTTTTAAATAACAAAATTCATTTCTTTTAAGAATTTGTTATAAATCCAAATTACATATCATTTTTCAGTTCTGGTTTATCACGAGAGATTAGAACATGGGAATCTTCAAAGATGTGGCTCCTATCTTGTGTCAGTTTTGAAAAGTCTGGACCATCAATTCCTGGTAAAAATTCCTTTTTAAATTTTTTCAGCACAGAAATTCATAAAATTGTATGCCATCACTCTGAATGTTATTTTTAGTAAATTTACTTGTTTGAATAGATGTCCTGTTTTTTTAAGTGTGAATTATGCCTACTGGTCTGTGTATTTGAAATTTAATAAATAAAATGTGCTCTCCAGCAGGATTCAGACTTGTGTCCTCCCTTGTAGGGAAAACCACTGTCTGATCCAGTGTGTTTTAGAATGGTTGGCAGCCAATGTGTTAAACCTGATGAAGGACTATACAAAATAGACTGCAAAAAATGTCCCATGAAAATACATTGGTGAGATATCTAGGTATTTAAATAAAAAATTGTATTAACATAAGAGTTCTTTTACAAAATAAAAGTGCATTTGTCATTCATTATAATAGGTCTGCACATAATTTTGACTTAAAAGTATTTTGACTTTAAAAGATTAAATTAATTTAAGTGAAAATGTATTGAATGTGTACTCATTTTGGAATTCTCTATTGTGAATTTATTTCATCATACTACATGGATGCATGAATATAAACATATCTCCTTTCCTCACAAAATTACTATTAATACAATGTTGAATAATTAAAAACAATAACATTAAAAATGAAAGTGTTATAAACTGAATGAGATAGAACAAGTTTAACATTTCAATACACCAGTTATCAAATTTATTTGTTGAGTGTCTCTGTATCTAACTTTTTGATGTCCTGTATTTCCTGTATACTAAGACTAGCAGCATGGCCCGGCATTGCCCGTGCTTGATTCAAAAATCATACAGCAATCGCTATCACTTGACTTAAGGTATTTTTGCCCTTCCTTGCCTTTAAAGGAGTGCCCTTTGCTGTGATGATGTTGCTACATGCCTTACTTCTTGCCTATCTCACACTGCAAATTTTTTCTAAGCTCTATACTAAACATTAAATCTGTTACGAAAAAAGAACTAAACAAAATGAACACAAAATGATCAGCTTTAAAAAAGGACTCGTAACTGGAAAAACCGAATGAAAAAAGAATGTTAACAACAAATACTTTTCGTCACCCAACCCAGTTCTGCGGAATCAGAATCAACGTTGAGTTTAAGCAAGCGAATGAGCCAAGAGTAAAGTGCCATGCAGATTTAAATTTTTCCCACTTGTGATGAATGCAGCTATCGATTATTTTTGCATGCTAGCATGCTAGTTAACATTCGTGTCAGTCAGCTGTTGGCTCTCACGCTGGCCAACAGAATCTTCCTGCCTATTCATGGCAGCCAGCTATAGGCTCTCACTCTGGCCAGTACAAAATGGCTGCAAACTACCTGAAAACTGCCGCAGAAGCATGGAAAAATCGATTATTTCCATGGGGAGTTGGGAAATGCAAAGTTGGTCTTGGCCTTCCCGCTAACTTGGAGCATGTGCATGTAAATTTTGGTGCAAATCCGTCGAAAATTGCGGCCGTGCATTCGTTACACACATCCTGCCTTTTATAGATAGAGATACATTTGTTTCCTGAAAAATACCCTCAAAAATCACTCTGCATTTTAGCAAGGTCACATTGTAGAGAGGAGTTTGCCAACCCTCATGAATCCAAGTCATGAAATGCAAGCAATCAAGAACACCAGACATAATATAAACCTACAATTATCATTCATATGTGATAACAGTACAGGTCTGATTTTAAAATGTCAGCAGTTCGTCTAGGCAGGTCAAAATTAAAGTGCTAAGAGAGAAATCACAGCAGTTTAAATAGTATCTAATGGCTGTGTAGTTGAATCTGTTTTGACTGAATGTGACTTGTGTTTCTGGAAATATTTTAATTTTTTCAATCTTTTATTTATTGTCAAGGTTACCCAACTTTTTCTGCCCAAACACTTGCTTGGTTGCACTGTTCAGGATGATAAAAGGACAGGTCAAAAAAAAAAAATCTACCTTTTCTTTTGCTCCTGAATTTTGTAGCAAAAACAACAGGATTTCTCTCTGCTCGGGGAGATTTGTTCCCCCAACAAGCCATCTTAAATTTAACCAACCACATAGCACATCAAGCACACATTTTACTTACAGCCACATCATGTTCAATCACCGGTTCCTGTACGATTACTGAAATTAAGCAATATAATGTCTGGTCAGTACCTAGATGGATGACCGCTTGGGAATACCAGGTGCTGGATGTATGCATGGTGTAATGGATAATGGCTTGGGGTTGTTAATCAAAGACCTGAGTTCCAATTCCTGTTGGGTTCGTTATATTCCCTTATGTGCAAATACCCTTGGGAAAGGTATAAATCCACCTCTTCTCCTCTCAGCTTAATTAGTAGTAAGTCTTATATCATTAAACCATTATTATCTCAAAAAAAAATTCTTATAATCTAAAAGTATTTTCTGGCTTTAAATAACCTGCAAAGTGTTGATAAGCCATAGAAATCAAATCAACAAATAACACATTTTCTCACAGCAAAGCCTATAATGATTTTTTTCCTTTTTCCAGCTATCTGTGTACACACGTATATTTTCTTTCTTAAATCGTTATTCTTTATATAAAATATGTAATAATGATAATACAACTAAAGATATGAAAATTACAAGAATTTAACATACTTTTCAGGATAAAAGAACTTGTGCCAAAAAGCACTCTTTAGATAGCTAGGGCTATAATATTCAATAAATCAAAAGTTCACATGACTTATTTGATAGACTGACTTAAGAGTTTCATGTCAAAACACTCATAAGGGCCAGATGTTTGATAAATCTATCAGATAAGTCAATTGAATATGAATATATATCTGAAAAATTTATTACATTGAAATTTATTTCTTTTGAAAATGTTGACTTCAATTTCTTTGAAAGTTTTCCACCTCAAGTAGTAATGCCTTGCACTACAAATTGGTGACCAACCTCATCCAATACAACCTGCAGCAGCTATTCACTATAGGTTCACAAAATGGAGGAAATCCTGATTTTCTGTAGCTTATAAAAACTGCAGGTTCAATGTTACATATATCTTCAAAGTTTTGTCAAATTCCATTCTGAGATTAAGGCAGGTATAACATTTAATTAAAAGTGTACATGGAAGTATATTTAGGTGCACAAAATGCAAGCTTTATTCATTGCGTTTGATAACCGGGTTTGAAAACTGAAATGTTCTGCTTATTATATATTATATTATAGGAATGACAGATATGTCCCCTGAAGAACTGCGTTTCGAAGCATATGAAGCCCAGAAGAATGAAAACTTTCAAGATTATGTAAGTGGGAAATATCTATTACTAAAATCTATTTTTTTTTTTCTAAATGTATGCCACTTTTTGGAAGTCAAAACGGTGCAAAAGTATTGAATTGATACCCTTAAAATATGAGAGAGAGAGAGAGAGAGAGAGAACAAAGCAGGGTTATTTGCAGATAAATAATATTGTAGAAAAATAACAATTAAAAAAAATGAAAATGATTTTTCAAGGGAGTTAACTATTAAATGATAATAATGGAGTACTATTTCGTTATTTGTTTAGTTATATAAACTAAAAGCTTGTCACTTTGCTGATTGATGTTACTTTCAGCATACCAGTTTTCGTAGGTGGGCCCATCCGTCCACTCTTTAGTGGGTGTCAGCAATTGACTGCTTATATTTCTCGATTTTTTTTCTTTTTTTATGCACTTATCGTTGGTGTAAGTTCTTCCTGTATTGTTTGTGTTCGTGTGTGCGTTTGCACATGCATAGCCATGCGCTTGTCTGTGCAGATGTGCGTTCGCACGGATATTTCATTGGATAATATAGACATATTATGTTTATTTATTTTTATGCTGATCCTTTCCAGTTCTTTAATCTGTTTCTTGATGTTAAGATGAAATTCATCAAGGAAGGTGCTGTAGTTTTTTCTTACCCAAGTATTTTCAATCTCCTCCAAGGTCATCTTCAGGAATAAATTACAAAGACAAACTTATTGTAACTATGAAGAATTCCATAGCTACAATGGATAAATTTAAAATTTTAAAATAATTATAACAGAGTGTATTCACATGTGTTTTTTTTTTTAAATCACCATCACAACAAAATGCAGATTTTATCACAGTTAACAATAAGTTTGTCTTTGTAATTTCCCCCTGAGGATGATCTTGGAGGATATATATATATATACACATATTACAGTTCAAAAGTTTGAAGCTGGGATGAACTTAGCAGAAGAGTGTAACCTTTCCATTAAAAAAAAATGAAAAAGAGCTCTTAGAGTCATTGAAAAAGAATGGAATCAATTATCAATCTTATATTTTGAGAAACTTTTGCAACAAATGTCAAAATTTTGTGCTGCAGTAATCAAGGCTAAAGGATATCTTGACAAGAGCAAAATCTAATCAAAAATTTTTTTTTTTTTTTTTTTTTTTTTTTTTTGCCATTATAAAATTTCTAATAAAAAAAATCATGCCTCACTTTTTTTTTTAACCATGTATAATAATTTTCTCTTATTTAAAGTATAAAACAATTACTTTTGGGGCCATTTAAAAAAATTACCAGGGGTCGCCTCAAACTTTTGAACTGTAGAGTATATATATATATATATATATATATATATATATATATATATATGAAAAGAGAGAGAGTAAAAATTTGGGGACCAGAAATAATGTTTGGGTGATTTGCAGTTGAATAATATTTTGGAATCTATATTAGTTCTAAACTGGGACCCCCTCTACCTCCAAAATAAAACGATCTATCATGGGAGGTAACTCTGAATTACTATTTCTTTACTCGTCGCTTATATTGTAGCACAAGGTCGAAAGTATGGGGCACCCAGTGAAGATCAAACTCACTATTCAGGTGTAATTGTTCTAGCAAGACAAGCTTCTTAACTATTACACCATGTCAAGGGGCCTTTACTAGTTTGTATATGAGCAAAAATGTTGGTACAAAAAAAAGCCCTTTTCTACACATCATACTCAAAAACTAGCATAATCTGTAAAGGAGTAAATTCAATGATCACTTCCTCCATAATAATTTTTTCTCAAAGTATGAGCCAATAAGTCCTAGCTGTCTTGTCGCCTATTGATAGTAGAAAATAACACATTGTTATTGTATTCATTAGTCTGTAGGTACAATAAAAACACGCCATCTTCTACTCTTAGTAAGGAATGAGACAGCATTTTAACTCATTGGGTCACCCTTTGAGAAAGAAAATTAGGATGAAAAAAGTTATCATTGAATTTATCATATTTAGTTTGTTGGTGAGTGTGCAGGAAGTGTAATGGTTATCAGCATAGAAAATGGAATTGGCAAGCTGAGTTCAAATTCCAGCTTATTCTGTTACATTCACTTTTGCACTAATGCCCTTGGAGAAAGACATGAATCTGTTTCTCCTTCAGCTAGACATTAAATAACAGGGCAGAGTTGTCTCTATAACCTTAGGTAGGAACCAGTCTAAAAGAAGAAAGACCCTGAATTCCAAATCTTGGAGAAGGCAACAGAAAACCACCCCACCATTTTTCCTAAGAATTCATGGCAATAAATGCATAGATAATAATAAAAAAAAAAAAAAGGAATGTATAGAGAATGGGGGTGGAATTAAAAAAAATCTGATGGTAATTATAAATATAACTGTAACAATTGGTCTTCGTTCAGGTAGAATTACTAGTGTTCCCATTAATAACTTTGTTTATACAAATTTTATTCTCTGCTGTTTCAAGTCATACTACAGGTTATTATTTTAATATTTTGTTTTAATTTCTTTGCCTTGAATATATATATATATATATATATATATATATATATATATATATATATATATTTTTTTTTTTTTTTTTTCAGGTTCTTAAAGTGCAGCAGATGCACAATGACTATAGTGCCAAACGACAGGAACTTAAGTCACCCTCTAATCAACTTCGAGACAAATTAGTAAGTATTCCATCATTTCCTTGACTTCATTAGAGAGATGCTGCTTTGATTTGGTTTGCTTTATGCCATATCAACTTTTACCAACTTATTTAATATCAAATTATGTCATTTTGATAAACAAAGAGTTAGGCACAGGTTTTGTTTGTGCAAGAGCAAAAGTGGTAGACATAAATTCAGTAAAAATGTAGTATCCCTTCAAATTTTTTTTTTTCTTTTTCACTCAAATGCGTGAGAGCCACTCAAGATAGAGGGTTACGGAATGGGGTTGTTGTATAAATGTAAGAAGTGAAAATGAAGATATATAGGATATACTTGAAGAGGTTAAGATTGTAGTGTTTCAGGTAGCATCCTCTCAAGAATCTGTTCCACAATGTAGAGGTTCTCAGGAAGTCTGGGAGGAAATTCTTTCTTATCAATGGAATATGAAGGGAATGAGAATGATTTGACTCTAATTGGCATAGTAGGTCTTAGCTATGAAAATCTGAACTGGTGTTGAAACTAAGAAATGTAGCTCGTCTGCCATGAAAATAGCAATACAATAGCAATAATTTTGGAACATTTCATTTGTGGGGAAAAGGAGCTGTAGGGTTGAAAATATAAAATAATAATATTTTTTAGCTCCAAGGCTGGGAAGTGAGGATATTATTGTCATTGTTGCATCACAATGACACTAATAAATATTAAAACTTTTGTCTCATAATAGTTATTACATTTGTGTACACATTTCCTATACTAAATGCAACAAATATAATGAGAGAGACATGAAAGCTAATATTATTTTCACACTAGTAAAAAAATCTAGATTCAAATTATGTGCAGTTTGTATTAGACATTATCGAAAATATCGTATTATATTCAGCAATGTGGCTTGAACAAAAGATATCTCACTGATATTTGGTAAAATAACATTATAGGAAGATATGTTACCAAATACATGGCACCAATCACATGACAAAGTACACATCATGCAGATGTGGTTTTGATTATTGAACTTGCATATTAAGCAACTTTTAAGTACTCAAAAAATGTGGCATTCGAATTCAGGGAGAATTTACACAGCATTTATTTGTATCTGCTTTTCAAATTCTTAGCAATTAGCACAGTGGACGAGGGGTGCCATAACCTCATGATTGAAGAGATCAGGTTGAAATAAGGAATGCAGATGATTTGAAATGAGGACTTCTCAGCCCAGGTTCAACCTAGATGATTTGAAATAAGGACTTCTTGAACCTTGTTTAACCTACTGGCATAATCACTAAAAGACATTTTAAAATCTAGGTAAACAACTGTAAATGATGTGTATGGTTAGCCATTATATTTTATTGTATAGAGCAATTATTTTAAAATGAGAATGTGATGCTTAATTTTTCTTTTTTAAATTCCAGATTGAATTTATAGAGACAAGCAGAAAGCAACAGGCAATTACTTCTGGGAACAGGTAAGCAGGCAATATTCTCATTATTTTCTGGGAAAGAAAACACAATCTGGTTTGCTCAGCAGTCTTGAACAAGGCTAGTATATTTAAATCCTCGTTCATGATGACTTTTGATATCATGCTAGCACAACCTTGGATGCTTTCCAAACAATTCTATCTACCAAATTCCACTCACATGGTTTGTGTCAACTGTGGTATAGATTTCCAGCACTTCTCAACAGTGACACATTATAGAATCATCTTCCAGGCTAATATCATCAAGAAGTTATCTTGACAAATTGACCATGGTGAAATTTGAACCTGGGTCTCATGGTTGTAATGCAAGCAGTCATGCAGACACAACCATCTACTAATATATTACTTGGTTATCTATTAATACTATTTAAATATTAAAATAGCCAGTGTTTAATTTAATGCTTGTTTTTAGCAGTTTTCATTGTAAGAAAGAAAATGAATGCTTAGCCTTTATTTGTCTTATGTTAAAATATAAAATTTCTGCATAAAAATGTTGAAAAAGGCCACAAACCCTTCAGAAATAATACAAAGATGTTGACAGTTGAATTTCAATGGGTATTAGTTTGCACCTATCTATTCAATATTGTAGAATATCATCAAAAGACCAGATATCTATATGTTGGACAAAATGTGTTATAGAAGACAAATCTTTAATATTGTTAAGTCTATCAATGTAATTATGTACTTTTATTGTCAGTATAATTGATACTCATCACAATCCACAGTAGATGAAAAAGTATTTGAAGTTTGAAACACAACAATCAAATGGAATTTTTTTTTTCTTTTTTCTTTTTGTCAGGGAGTCGAGACAGTCTACTGGAAAAGTTTGATCATGGGCAAGATACTTTGTGGTTTAGTTGTGTAAACAATTTGAAGGATGTATATCCCCCCTCTCTATCTTGCACACACACACACACACACACACACCATAATAATAATAATTCAGGTCACTATTCTCCCAATTATCATTGGGTGATTGGAAATCTATAGTACTGAAATTAAAGTCCTACATTAAGAAAATCAAGATAAAGCTTAACATCCTATCACTTCAGAAGCCTGCTTTGCTTGGCACTGCAAATATTCTGCGAAAGGTGTTCTCTGTTTGGAGTCATATGGGTTGATGGAGAACACACATTATGCAAGATCTCTTGTTGAAAAAGAAAAACTGTGTGGAAGAACAGAAGATAATAACAACAACACAAATCATTCATGCCTAACAAAACTTGTCAGCCAGTAAACTGCTGGAGTTTAATGCATTTAAAAGTGAGTAGATTTTTGTAAACAAAGTGCTCAGTATTAAACAAAAATAGAGCAACAATAGTAGATAAAAAAAAAAAAATTGAAAGACTTCTCTTTCTGACTTTAAGTTTTACAGATACACTTTTTGTCTGCAATGTTTCTGAGAAAGTTGGATAGATGACTTTTGAACTTAAATAATTTATAATAAAAATATAGTTTTAAGGTATACTATATTTATGGGTAAATATGCTCAATATCATGGATATAATATATGTAAATATAAAAGTAGACACCGAGGTCATCACTGAATGGTAACAGTCTGTATCAGGCCCTATGTGCTGTATTTTGGCTTGACTTTTTAAATATGGTAGTCAATGGTGCATTATCAGTAGCGAGGGGTATTGTATTATCCTAAAGGTTATAAAGGGATATATATATATATATATATATATATATATATATGTCTCATGTCCCTAATAACTGCATACCCAATATAAAAGCTAAATTTCTTTCAAGTTCATTGTAATATAACAAGCTTAGTTTTTGTTGTTTATACTATTATTTTTTTAATTTTCAGCGTTCTGGATTTAGTTACACTAAATCCAAAAATTATCAGACACTTCAAAAACAATATATATCAGTGCAAGTTACACTTTTCACAGAGTGCACAGATAATCCTCCGGTCCTAAACAGAAGTGCCAATACACACATAAATAATTTATTCTGTCAATGCTATTTGTATAATTTCTTTTGTCTAATTTTTTTCTGTTTTTTTTTTTTTTTTTTTTTTTTATTACTGATTTATTTTTTAAATATTTTTTATTTTTCAGTTCTTCAAGATTTTCAGGTTCTGGTGGTAAGTAAACAAGTGAATTTTGCCACTGATTAATTTTTTTTTTTTTTTTTTTTTGTTTGTATCCAGAAGACATTTTTGAAAGAACAATCACAAGAGAAAAGGCAGAGACAATGCAATTTGTAAAGTAAAATTTAGAAATTAGTAAAAGAAAAGAAAAAAAAAATGTATTATTTTACTAGTTTTCATATATTTTTTATTATATATAATGTTTATGTGTGATAAACACTTGCATTATGTCATTAAAAAAAATCCAAAATATCTATGTTTGCTCAAGTTTCATAATGTGAATTATACATCTAAAAACATGAATATTTGAAAAGCTTTAACCTTTGGCACTCTGTATTATAAGTATCATTATTGTTAATTTCACCCAGTTGTTTTCTGTTGCACTAGCAGGATATGACAACACAACTATGAAATGCAAATCCACTAATTTTCGGGGATCAGAGTCACCTTCAGTGACAGGATAACCTTTTTGTACAGCAAATGAAGTCACATACAGAGTGATAAATATTAAAAATCACTCTAGAAGCTCTTATTATTCCAGTAATTGATTTTTCATTAACTAATTGATTGATTTTTATGACATGTCAATGCTTGTTTGGTAATTTAATGTTAGAATCAGTTATTCTTTTAAATATTTTAAATATGAGCCTAAAATTATTTAATTGGTTTGTGGATAGGTAATTATTGGTTATTTAAATTTGAATCTAGAAGCATTTATTTGGTATGTGATCTTCTGTATTTGGGTGTGGTCTTATTCCTCTTGTAGAAATCCTAACAACAGAGCAACAAAATAAGTGTTGTAACCTAGGGAAGGTTACTAAATAGAATAATCACATGAAGCTTGGTAATGAACGATAATACTTAGAACAAGAACAACACATATAAGATTTGCCAGCAGCGTGTAGAAGTAGTAGTCAACTGCTAGAAGTGAGTCAAGTGAATTCCACGATGAATCTTCAACTGCAGGATATCTATTAACCACCCCATGCAGTTAGATGTGGCAAAAGGTCGAATTTAATATGGGGTATCTGAGCCCGTAAACTTGGCCAAAAATTCCTCGTAGACCCCATTTAAAATGGGGTTGGATAGCTGTTTCCTGAGACGAGACTCTGCTCTTCAACATAGCCTTGTCTGGAAGCAGAGAATTTGACCAGCACAGCTGGAGATGAATCTCCAACTACAGACCAACATACAGTATTTACTACTTTGTCTGCAGGTATGCTACAACAATAAGTGACTCATCAAGTTCAAGGATAATTAAAAAAGAGTAAAAAAAATATGTGGAGATTTTTCTAGTTTTCATTGCCTCTTGTATTTTAAGCTGACATTCAAATAATATAAAATTAGTTATTGAAGATATACTTTTGTAGATTTAGAAAAGAGAGATCTTTTAAAACAGGATAAAGTTCATATCTATTTTTCTATATTAGTTGTACTAAACTTAAGGATATCATTCCAAAATTGTGTTGATGATCAATTTTGATAATTTTTTTTCCTCACCATAATGATAATCTATAGACAATGTCTTGTTTTCAAGAAGTTTTGGGAACAGAGAATTTTTATCCATCAATCAAGGCCAACCATAGTCAGGATCAAAGTCATTGTAAACTCCATGATATTTTCATTAGCTGCATAGTATGTGCTTTACCAGAGATATATATGGTTTTGAATTCAGAGTTGTCTTCTAGACTAGCTTCCACCTAAGGCTGAAGAGTCTATCCTATTATTTAACCCATAGCTTGGGGGGAACCAGCTATGCTGCATTTTTAGTTATATACTGAACATAAATATTTGAACTTCAGAAAATTATTTCTGGCTTTTTAGGAGTTGTCTGTCTGTTGAACATACAAGTATTTACTATGCTTAACCTCGCCTGCCACATTGCCTCAGTAGATGGGCACTCAGTAATGGTCAATTTCATTACATGAGTAAAAGAGCCTGCAAAATGAGCTTTATATCCATTTGCTTTGGTATTCTTGTGTACCAAATAAAGGTATCAACACAAATTATTTCCTTAATTACAGTGACATGCTTATTATTTTCATTTTTTTTTTTTTTTTTTTTTTTCACAGCATAATTATTTTGTTCTACATTTATTACACTTATACTCGGCAGAATGTTTATTTGAACTGGCACACTTGTGATATAATAAGTAAAGAGGTAGTGTAGCTGTGGAAGCATGATTTAATTGTATTTGACTGTGAAGTGATTGTTGGAGCTATGGAAATCATCTCTAGGTTATTCTTGGACAACAGTATCAAGGAGATACCAGAAATATCTGGATTCTGAGCAGACATGTAAAAACTATGGTTGCCCATAGGTGAAGCAGAACAGGAATTCACAGGCAGTGGATAAGCATGGTAACCATTCAATGAAAAGGAGCGTTGCATCAAATATTACTTCAATACTGGTGTTGCTCAACCCATGAGCCAACACACTGTGTAGCCTATGTTTCATTTTATGTTTTTTTTTTTTTTTTTATCATGAACTAATACAGGTACTATTATTGACATCACATCGTTGGTTACTGTACCTCATCTAAGTCAGAAGATGTTGTCATTAGAACATGGAAGACTGACACCATGTTGCCATGTCAGACAGGTCGTGTTTTCAGCTCTTTTAGGCAGATGGTCAAATTCGTGAAAAATCTTACCTGTCAGCAGAGTGTTTCACAAGTATTTTTCAGGTGCATGGTATTGCACAATGAAAATCAACTAAGGCAATTGCCAAAAATCCAGTTGCCATAAATAAAATAACAGCATCTGCTGAATTATTTTTAAATTAATACAAAGAGAAATCATTGTAAGTTGGGATTTGGCTAGTAATAATAATAAATAAATAAATAAATAAATAAATAATGTCCTGTTTCTAAAAGTGCAATTGGTTTGAGATTGTACTTGGGACATTTTGCTTGTGTTTTTCACATTCTTGGCTTCATTACATACTAGTAAAATTTGTTATGTCTATTTACATAAATATCAGCTATCTAGTATAATTTAGTATAAAAAAAACAATCCCTAATAACCAATCAACCATTTTTTTACTTTTCAGGTTCAGCTTTTGGATCTTCAAGTGTGCTAGGACAGGGAAGTTTTGCAGCAGAAACTGTGAAAGTTTTTGGAAATGCTTCTAATAATTTATTTGGAAAATCTGAACCAGCATCAAATCCCTTCACAAACCAGAACAATGCTTTTGGAAACTCATCTAGTGGCAGTGCTTTTGGCATTTCAAATCCAGCTCAGTCACCAGGGATGAGTATTTTTGGGAACAGTGGCGGTAGCAGTGCATTTGGGGGACAGATGGGCCCATGTATCTCAAGTGTGTTTGGTAATGCAACAAACCAAGTTTTAGCATCACAATCAATGAACCAGGTTCCAGCAGCTGGTGTATTTGGGACCCAGTGCTCGACTTCATCCCTCCAGGGTAATGCTTTTGGAGGTAGTACCTCTGTTTTTGGCGGTCCAACCATAGCTAGTGGATCTTCCCCAGCAGTTGGTCTTTTTGGTAAACCAGCTGCTCCAGCTTCTGTTTTTGGCCAGCAATCGGTTTTTGGAGCTGGAATGGTTGCTCCTGGTGAAGGTAGTGTATTTGGAGATGGATCTTCTGTTGGGGGCTCAATTTTTGGTCAACCATCGCCCACTGTTGCTGAAATTTCAGCTTCAATGTATACACCTATGGAAAGTCTTACAGCAGCAGAATTGGAACAATATCAAGCACAGAAGTTTACATTAGGGAAAATTCCAACAAGACCTCCACCCAAGGAACTTTGTTTTTAATTAAATAAGACTGGAATTATTCTAGAGGTCTGTTTTTTTTTTTTTTTTTTTTCTTTCCTATTTTTTTTCTTTTTTGAACACCATACATAAAAAAAATGTATCTAAAAAATCTTACTTGCATACAAATTGTTTTTGTTATTCACAGTTTTAAGCTTTTTATCATTGTTTATAAACTTATAAGCACTCTCTAGATTATAAATGATTAAATAAATGGAAAGTTAATGGGGAATTTCTATAATCTCTCCCATTCTCACTTCATATGCTTCTATCACATATATAGTCTATTTGTCGTGAAGTGTCTCCAGTATATTATAGCTTGGTGACATTCATCTGTCTCTTGTCCTAACTTTTTTCTTTTCAGTTTTCTATTTCTATTTAGATTTCTTTTTTTCTTTTCAGCCCCCCCTCCTCCTTTTTCTTGTTCCTTCTTTCTCTCTCTTAAGTTTGATCAGTTTCTTAATGTATATTAAACATTCTTTTCCATTGTTTATCTAGTGGGTGCTATCCCAAGTTAATGATTCTAAGGAATTCTTTTAAAACTTCCCATCATTGAGTTGTCAAGTTTCACTCATTATTATAAAAGATATTATAATAATAAGAGATTGGCTGTGGACCTCATGCAATTCTGTTTAATTTGGACATTTGTAAGTATTTTTAAAGCTTTAATGTATATTTATGACAAAGAAAAGTGGACTTGATGGAATTTTTGGCCTACTCATTGATATGTGAAAGTATTTTAAAGTCTAAATATGTTTATCTGACCAAAAGCTAAATAAAAAAAGGAATTACTAATTAAAGTTGTCATACAAGAAATGAGATATTGAAAATATATGGAGAGACATCAATGTAGAAGCAATAGATGAGTGATTATCTATTACTTTCAGCCATCATAAAAAGTAGGGTATTGATCATTTAGAGCAGTGGTTCCCAAACTTTTTCTTTGGGTTGTATTTTTGGAATGAAAATTTGCTCACGCCTCACCAAATTTTTTGTGATAAAAAGTACATTTAAAAATAAAAAAAACAGAGAGGATTAAAGGGAGATAAACACAGACTTGAAGTTAGAACATTATTATTGATAATTCTATCTTCCAATTTGTGGACACTAGTTATTATTCTTAATGCTTGATATAATGCAAAAATATCACAATGATAAAATTGGTCAGTAATTATGTATACTAGGACTCATGCATGCAATTACAAGTTATCCATAATAATACTTTAAATTTTGAAATCATATTTATTTTTGGCATATGAATTTTTGAAACTGTTTCTAAATCTTTGATTGTCTTTCAGTCATTCTGCCTCATCTGGTATCTTCTTCTGCCTCACCTATGAGGTGCACCACACCATTTAGGAACTACTGTTTTAGAGGAATCATAGGATGCTATTTTAATAGGTTGGGTTAAGCAGCTTTTAGTTTTTTTCTTAAAAACTCAGTTTAACCTTTTTTTTAGGTCATATATTGTTAAAACTGCACTTTAAGACTATTATACTGGAAGAAACAATGTGAAGTGCAGAGGATGCATAATTGATGCATTTCGAGATAGTGATAGGTAGCTTAAAATGCTCAAAATGCATCAAATTATGCATCCTATGCACTTCACATTGTTTCTTCCAGTATAATAGTCTTACTCTTATGTCTATCATCTTTTCATGTTGATTTGAATATCGTCTAATGTTAATTATGTTTTAATAACTATGTCCTGAGGAAGGTCTACTAGACCGAAACGTCTGACGTTGACATTGAAATAACATTAAAACAGCATATTTGCATATTCGGATTTTTGTTTTTCCATATATTTTTCTTATATATAATTAAATTCAGTAACATCATTTACTCGCTTTTGTTTATTAGGCATTAAATTATATCACTTAGCATCCTCCATAATTTATTTAGACTTTTCAGCTAACATGATGAATATTTATGAGCATCTCTTAAATTTAAACATTTTGAAAAACTAACATTTTTACTTTTGTTTCTCAAAACTTTTTGCAAAATGAAATCCTTACATTTGTCTTGATAAAGTCTATCAGAAGACAAAATTTATTGACTAAAAAAAAATTATGATGAAAGAACTAGTAGCTAAAATTAATATTAATAATAATGATGGTCATTTTAAAAGTCTATACATTTTCAAATCACAAATCAGTACATATAATTATAATGTTTTTATTTGTAAATTTTTTAAAATTAGAGAAAATTAGTTCTTTAGGTAATTTTCTCTTACATTATTTTGAAAATGTAACATTTTTTATGTTTGTTTTTCTAAATCCTCTCAAGTATTGTTAACTTTTGGAAAATATGTTTTAAATTTTGTCCTGGAAATTACCTTTATACAAATGATATTTAATTCTGCATAAGGCTTTTGACTATATCATGTTGAAACATCAGTTCACATATGATCACTAAAGTTAAGCAATGTTGAGCCTAGGTATTCCTTAGATGGGTCACTGCTGGGGAATACCAGGTGCTGTAAGCTTGAATGTGTGGGTGGTGTAATGGAAAAATGACTTGAAATTGCAAAGCCAAGTTTTAATTTTAGCTCAGTTTGGTATAATTACTTACTTATGTGTAAGTACCTTTGAGAATGGTATGAATCCACTTATACTGCCAGCTTTGTATTAATTAGTAGGACTTTTATCAGTAAATTAATAATTATAATTATTTATCAGTAAATTAGTAATTATAATTAGTACTTTTATCAGTAAATCATTATTATCTCCAAAAAATTCAAAAAAATATTTTCTGGCTTTAAATAACCTGCAAAAGGTTGATAAGCCATAAAAAATGGATAAAAGATTTTGTGTATTTATTAGTACATACTTATTTAGTAATTGATTTCACACACACACACATAGTTGAATAATCAAATTTTTAACTTATCATTTTTTGATTCTCACTGCTGATTATATTTTTGGTTGTTGATGCAAGCAAAATCATGAAATAATTTTTATCTGATCAACCACTAGTACATCACTGTGCAGTATCATTCCTAGTTATGTATTTCTGTTTTAAGCATACCGATATTTCTGTTAACCAAACCTGTCATTCTCTTTTTTGTTGTCTTTGCTGTTAAAATTAGTGTTTTTAATATCACTAAATAGAAAATGTATTGACAATTTCCTCAACAAAGAATTAATGTTTAAAACTGTCTCTCCATATTTTAAATACATAAGATAAAGTTGAATGTGATCTCTTAAGATTGTATAAAATGAAATTTTATATTGATAATCAGTCATCAGTATTCTATTAAATCTAAACTTGATTTTTAGCATCAACATTCATGTTAAAAATTCCTTTAAAAAGGAAAAGGGGAAAAATAGATAAAAGAATGTTTTCTTAATAACTTTAGTCAAGCATTCTAATTCCATCCCAGATCAAAATTCCATCAAATCCTGGAGACCCATATTAAGTTATAGGGAAAGTTGATTCCTTTTAAAAATATATAATCTAATATTTTAAGTGAACCATACACTTTTATATTGGTGTGATCTTAACTTTAAGCTATAATCCAATTATGTCTTGAATAAGGCTCTAAATGTTCTTGAGAAATAGAGTGCTAAATGAATTAGAAGTCATTGAAACAGTATATAAAAAGGAAAGTAGGCTGATAAACCATCCAAAAATATGTTTCCATAGCCAAATAGATTCTGCTGTAAGCATTTTTATTACTTACATTATTTGGACTCATTGCTATATTCACAACGTTTCGGCCATTGTATGCTCCGGCCTTCTTCTGTTGATTGGAATTTCGAACCAAACCCTTTATTTTGTCCACGGGGGTAGATTGTTTTAGTTCCACATTCCATGCCTCTTCTGGATGTCTCAGTTATTTCCCTATAATTAAACTCGCCAAGTTTTTTGGATTCACCACTGCTGTAGGCTTTTATTGAACTCACTACTCTTTGGATCTTGTCACTGGATCTAACCAATGCCTTTATCCACTGGGCCATGTGTCCTTGAGGACATGTAACTAGAATAATCTACCCTGGTGAACGAAATAAAGGGTTTGGTTCGAAATTCCAATCTCCTGAAGAAGGCTAGAATGTACAATGACCAAAACATGAATATGGCAATGAAGATGAGGATAACAGTCCGAATGATGTAAATAATGTAAGTAATCATAATACCTCATCTCAAAGATATAGACAAACATTTTTATTATTTAAAAATTATCCTTTAAAAATAGTGATAATAATAAAAATCAGATTGACCCTTTAGCATCCAACACGTCCTGTAAAGATTGGCTCTCAATGTTCAACCTGTTGTAACTTGCCACATCTACCATAACATGATGACATCATCGCAGATAATGTAGGAAGTCACATAAACAGTGAGACTTTGAGATCCGATATTTAGGGGGGGGTGTTTGAGCGTGTTGAATGCTAGAGGGTTAAATTTTAATGTTTGTTTTTTAGATCGGATTGTAAATTTCAAGAATAAAGAAAAAGAAATCACTTAATAAAATAATTCTATTGCTGATATCAAATTGTTGCTAATGAAAGAGGTCAGGATTTTGAATCTCGTTCATTTTTCTTTTTTTTGTTCTTCCTTAAAAAGAACATCACCAAATGTCTATTGTTTAGTGATGTCTTTTCTTGTAGAACTTGTTTTGCTGCTGCTTATGCCATTAGTCATTTGTCATAAACCAATTTATAACTTTTATAATCTTGTCAATATTTTCACTAAGAAACCAATCTGAGAGAGTTTTGGGGACCGTTAAATAATTTTCAAGATCTTTATCTTTAATTTTTATGATGTCAACTTTTTAAGTGTTCTTCAACTGTTAAGCCCTTAGTGTGTATTTGTGCGTGTTCTGTAACCCATCAGAGTTGTAGAGGCACTACATTTACTGCAGCTATAACAGCAGACATGTGTCTAGGGCAAGATAACCTGACAGAGCTCATCAGTCTTCAGGCTGGTTTTGAATTCAAAGTTTTCCTTCTCCTTGACTGTTTGCCAGCTTAAGGCAAAATAGTCCAGTATGTAACCCACAGCTGGGGGAAGATAGATTCATGCCTTTTCCAAGGGCATAGTCCGAAGTGAACAAAATAGAATTGAAACTCAGCATGCCTAATTCACTTTCTGCGCTGATATCCATTACATTATCTACCCTACCTAAACCTTTGGTAGACTTTAAAACAGTCTCCACTCCTTTCATACTTTTTTTTTTTTTTTTTTTAAATGGAAAATAATTTAATGCCAAAGAATTAACAAAAAATAAGTTTCAGATCCATGTGAATTATGAAATGTCTTACATTGAAAGAATTTCAACTTTAAATTGGTCAATCAAGGGCAAACAATTTTATACTTCAAATAAAAAATAAAAAAATCTCTTTGATAATATTTATTTTCTTTATTTACTGTCATCGTTTATTGTTTTTTCTGCAATTTTTTTTTTTGTTCAGGTTTTAAACAGATATTAAAAGGATGAATCTTATTTGAAAATATCCTTGGGGAAAGGTATGAATCCATTTCTTCTCACTCTAGTTATGGGCTAAATAGTAGGGCAAACTGAGCTCTTCAGCCTTGGTTGGCTACCAGTCTAGGAGGAGTACACAAAATCCACAATAGTAACGTCTAGAGCTGTGGCCCTATACCCCACAGTAGAGTCTATGGGACTTGTGTGAGTAAGTGAGAATCTTATTTGCCTTATTTGGTGCTATGGGTTAAGTCCCTTACCAAAGGTTTGTTGAGCTATTTGCTCCTGTTGAAGGCTGTTTTTAATTCTATGTTGGGTCTGTTAACTGTGCTTTCTGGTAGGGGTAACTTCCTTAAGCTTGTCCTTATTTTTTTTTGTGTTTTTATGTATGTTTGTTTATAAGGGAATTTCTTAGATGGTATCTTTTAACAATTTATTCATCAAGGACAATTTCTGTTTTTGTGATTTACTGAAAGATAAATGTCTTTAAATCTACAATGAAAGTCTGATATAGCTATAGTGTTGTGGAGATATTAGTCTATTTGAAATCCCTCTTAAATTGTATGAAACAGATGTGAGAAGAATTTTTTGCTGGAAATAAGATGTTGGTTTCATTGAATCCTTTGTGACATTCCACTAAACATTTTACGGTTTTCTTTGCTCTCTTTTTGATTAACTCTTGCCATATGATGTCAAATAATTTTAATATAATTCCTAGAACACAAACATATCACTGGTACCAAAATTAAAGTTAACATAAAAAATTGAATAAGCCTAAGAATTTAGCAACTGTTTGTTTAATAAATAATGAATGAATTTGTAGCCTGTTTTATATATATTATTGTTAATAAACATCCATTTTGGAAAAAAAAATAACAAAAAAAAAATCTGCTGTAATTTCTGTCTAAATTTCTAGGATAAAGAGTTGTCATTATCTACATTTACACTTGGACTACTATCCTCATCTTTGTTGTTGTTATCACAGTGTTTCAGCTGCTGCACCCTCCAGTCTTTTTTTGGTGTCTGTGAAGCCAGGTAACCTTCAGGGAATTTTAAATTTTTTGAAGCTTACCTGGATTAACAAGTACCTGATGAAGGCTGGAGAGCACAATGGCTGAAACATTGTGATAATAACAACAAAGATGAGGATATTAGTATAAATAATGTAAATAAAACTGCTTTATGATTTGATGAATGTTTTATTTTGATCTCTGTGGTCCCTTTACAATTTATTAACATTTGAAATATTGATTTTTTTTTTTTAATGTATTTCTAATGATTAGCTTTTGATTATGTGCAGTCCTCTTTTCCTGTAACACTTAATTGCTTCTGCAATATTTTATGTATATTTCTATAATTTGTTTAAAATAATATCAACTGTTTCATTAATTAAACAATTTCTATAATTTGTAGATGTAAATAACCTGACAACACATTTTATTATGTAAATTAAAAAAACAAAAAAGAACAATTGAAACTATATTCTTTTCTAAGAGTATTCTTGGGGACTGTTATGACACATTTGATAAAAGATCTTTCTATCAATGGATAGACCCTAGACAAATTATGCACAATGTTAGTACATTTGTGTACTTGTAAAATTTGCAATATCTGGTTAATTTTGAAGTATTTTTTTTTGTTTTACTTGATGAATGTATAGCTGCAAGTTCAAAAATACAGCAACAAACATATTTTGGAAGGTTCACATTAAAAATGTTGGTTGTATGTAGATTGTTTTTTTTAATGTCAGATAAATGGAATGAGGTGGGGTGGGGGGAGAATGAACAGAAAAGTTTATAATTGCAACACACAGACTTTTTGATATATCTTATAAAATAAAATGGTGTGTATTTGTATTTATATATCTTTCAATATATGATTAAATTTGGATGAAAATCTGACTGAATATAAGACAGTTTGGAAAAATTTCTACTTTGTCTAATGATGACAGTCCATTGGTGAAGCATGACAAAGTATAAATTTTCGAAATGATTTTTATATAGTTTAAAATTTGCTATATTTATTGGAGAAGAATGCTCAATATCTGAGATAAAG